CCCCAAAACCCCAAAACCCCAAAACCCCATTATCTGAAATCATAATATATTTGATGTTAGCTTATCTGAAATTTAAATGTTATTTATTCGAAGCCAACTGAATTGCAGTGAATATTATATTAATATAAGCAGCAATAATATAAATGAGCATTCAAGACAACCCTAAAAATTATACTTTTTAACTCATGTAACTCTTTAAATTAATTTCTTTCTCCAATTTTTCAATTTCATCTGTAGGAGGGCATAAGAGTCCCGTGTTTTACTTGGAAAAATATCTAATGCTAGGCCATTAATTGATAACAAGTCACCAAAGTATCAGGGATCTGTAGGTCCAATGAGAAATCCATCTCGATCTAAGAATATTTCTAGGAGAAGAGAAATAGAAATAGAAAATAATGCACTCATTCAAAAAATGCTAAAAATTATGCAGGTAAATTTCAAGTAATAATGTATCTTAAAATTCAAATAGAGAGGAACAAGATCTACAAATACATCGCCAATGCACAAAAAAAATCATTCTAACAGCTCATCTTCAGCTTAGTTACATAATATTTCTCATCTGCCAGGAGGAGGCGTTCCAGCTCATTTAGCTTTAAATTAATCATTGAACATTACTCAATTAAACCAGTAAAGCATCAGGCATGCGAACAACTTATCAATGCTAACCTCAAACAGCCAATAAAATTCCCCAGGCAAAGTTGGAAGTTTAAATTATTACAAAAGAAAAAAAGATATCGATCATATCAATCAAACTAATTAGTAGCTTCTTAAAGCTCTTTAAAATGTCAAACCAAGTGTTAATAGAGGAGACTTAAAAAATCATGAAAGTAGAATAAAAAAGCTCAAGCAGCACATCGGCTAAGTACGATACGGATCACCGCCTAATTTCGTATTCCCGGTTGTTTCACATAATGAAAATCATAACTATCACTCCTCTCAGTTCGTATTTGTCAAAAATCCCTCCTAAATAAACCTTAGATCTAGTGGATCCAGAACCAGATAAAGATCAAGTCAGAATCTTACAAACATTTCATCTTTTGCAGCAAATTAGATTGCGAATCTCGAAATAAGACCATAAACCTCTCAGGCCCAAAGTAGAAAAAGGCTTAGAAATTAATAGAACTAAAGTGCTGATTTCAACAGAACCACACGTAAAAGCGAATTATTGCAAATCATATAAAATGATGATTTGCAATAGTCTTCCCGAATTTCAAATAGGAATTTGAAGATCTCAGCCACAGGAGCTATTGATGAGCAGATAAGCAGATAAATGGAGGATTCCCCAAATGATGAGCTGGAGTATAACCCTAATGATGTTAAAAAGAGAGCTATTACTCCAGTAGCTTAACCAACTTACAAGCAGTAACAAAGAAAAATTAAATCTAGATCATCTAAGTAACCATTGTCATAATCTCATAAATTTAACAAGAAGGATCTTTAGATTATTAGTAGTTATTAACCCTCTTACCTTGGTAATCAGCCTATATATACCTCCAAAACTCCTGCCCAATAAAGACGATCTCCGATGAACCCATAATCCTATATTGGACCAATTCAGACTCATTTCTTTTAGTCGAAGAAATTTTAAAAGCCACAAACTGCTCAATCTACAAAACACATTGGCTAGAATGCTATTCATTATCAGCATATTAACATGTTTACTAATAATCTGCTAGATTAAAGTCAGGATATGTCTAACCATTCAACTAATAAAGTAAAAACATCTTTAAATAAGCACCAAGATAGTACCATCAAATTTATAGAGCCAAAAATTTAGATAAGCAAGGTTGATGAAAGCTTAAACCAGAATTAAGTAGATTTCTACTCTACAAAGATGCTAAATTTAGGTGATAGTCCTAACAATCAAGAAGTATTACATCAATCTCCAGACTTTTAGAATTAATATTAACTTAATGCAGGCTCACCAGTAAATAAATAAAAGCTAAATTTTGATAAAGAATCAGTTTTAATGAATCCTTAGGGCAATAATAATAATAGTAAAGTAATGAAAGATTTGACGGATAAACAGCCTATTCCAAATAACTAAGCTGGGAGAACTCAAGCACCTAAGCTTGCCAGAAAAAATACTAGATTTGATCCGATTGAAGAGTAAAAGTACTCAGTTAAAAATTAGCCTAAAATTGGTAATTAGAAATCGTAGGTAAAAAACAAAGAATTACAGTAAGCTAATGCTGAAAAGGCTATAGCACTTTTAAAGAATCAGAAAAAGATAAAAGAAAAAGCTATTCATAATGCTAAGAGATTCATTGAGATCCTGAAATAAAGAGTGATTTACAAAAAAGCAAGAATGATGCAAGAAAACAATAAGAAAGATAGATAAGTTGTAGGAAGTCTATTAGGAGGGCTATTAGGTGTTAATACTAGTGCAGCACATCCAGAAGGAGCTAGTATATCTGTAAGGTATTCATAAGATTCTTTTGATCTCTAAGATCAGGGAAAATACGATGGCCCTAAGGTTGAAGATAAGGAAGCATATGAGAAATATCTTTAGCAAAATAGAGCAAATTAACTAGCCACTAGAGATTTGCAAGCTGAAGAGGAACTTATTATTTAAAAAGGAAGGAAAATACTCAATTCTCTAAAGCTAAAAATAAAAACATAAAAACTGGAATAAAATGTAAAAAAGTTTATTGAAATCCTGAGAGAAAAGGTGATTGAAACAAAATAAAAAGAAGTTGTTAAGAAAATGTTTGCTAAAAGATTTTAGGCTAGAAATCTTCAAAAAGTTGCAATTTAAATAAATAAAAAAGAGGAAAATTCTATTATCAAATAGAGAGAGGAAGCTAAAGAGAAGGAAGAAAAGGCAAAGCAATTAGCTTCTTAGTTTATTTCGAATATTCAGTAAGAAGAGGATCAGTAAGTGGATAAATCTTTGGAGATTATTAAGAAAATGAAGTCTAATGTCTAGAATCACAATAACAGTCACAAGCAAAGAAATACGTAAGAGCATTTCAATTAAATGTCAAAGAGATGCCAATAAATAGTAAAAGGCTTCATAAACTTGTTACAGCGTAAAGTTCAAATCAAGGTACTTGTAAAGAAATTTATTAAGGTTTTCAAGGAATAATGCTAGAGTAAAAGCAAATAAATTAGTAGAATGACTACTAAGAGGGAAGAATTGAAGATATTCAAAAATTTTGCAACTAAATTCATGATTTATGGTATCACAAGTAAATAAACAAATCAAATCAATGAGAATGATTAAGAAGAGTCTATATCCCATCGCTACTCTGATGATGATCATTCTATAAAGTCTTCTATTAAATCTATTAATGAATAAGATAAGAAGGAAATTTAAGATGATATAATGAGGAATCAAGTAGAAAATTAAAGCAGATAATAGCCTACCAACTATAAGAGAAGTAGCACTGTCTAAAATAGTTAAAGTTAGAATATGAATGGAATAGCTCAAACAGATGAAGAAAAAGCAATGCTGAATAGCAACTAATTTATCACTTAGATAAAGACTAGTCAGAATTAAAAGCAAGATAATAAAGTTTTAGTCAAAAAATTTGTTGGTATAATTAAGAAAAATCATCATGAAGTGTAAGTTGCAAAGAAAGCTTTTAATTAGATGAAGAGCAGTGTCAGAAATAAGTAAAATTTTAGAATGAATACTGTGTTCTCATTGTCCAGCAAATCGAAGAAGAGCTTTCATTCAGCATAAACAGTAGGCATCTCACAGATTAAAGATCATGAATTTCATGATGCCGTTAAAATAGAATTTAGGAGACTTATGGCTAGGATTTTCCAGCTTAAGGAAAACTAAAGAAATACTAGTATTTTCGTTCTTTACTATACTTTTGAATTCAAACAAAGAGCTATGATGTTGCTTTAAAGAGCATTCAAGAAAAACTACGGCAAAAAAGATGAGGAGAGAGCTATGTATGAAGATGTGAGAAGATTTATCTTTATAAATTAGTTAAGGCAAAAATATCTAATTCAAAAAGGCAAAATGAAAGCAAAAGAATATGTGTTTAGGTTGAGATTCCTTGCTCAAAGAAAAAGAAATTTGAAGTCCTAATTACTTTACTTGCTGGAAAAAAACAAAGAAAATAAAGATAAAGCACTCAAATATTTCATTGCTAGATTATTTTAGCAGAAATCTTATTAAGCTCAAGTTTGCTACAATCCTTTTGTAAATAATAATCTGTTTGTTACTGATGTAAAAATGTACATTGCCTAGCTATTTCAGAACTAGTGCGATCTTATTGGAAGACCAAGAAATATATTCAAGATTTCTAATATAACCCCATCCTAACGATAAATAAGATCTTTTATTGCTAAACAGTTTCAAATTAAATCATACAAAATAGACTAAGTCAAGTAAATGAAGGTTATTGGTATACTCAAATAAAAATCCTCAGTAAAAAAACAGAATGCATTGAAGTTTACTTAAAAACTGAGGGCTTCAAGGCAGTAACTCAATATCATTAAGAATTAAGACATTTAGGATTAAATCTTCAAAGAGTTTAGAATAATGTTGGCTAAAATATTGACAAGAAATATCGCTTAAAGAGAATCTAGACTGGAAATTCATCACATAACTAGCAAATGTGTTGAAGAAGTACTAGCTATTATCAGAAAGTACTACAAATTAAATGTATCAAAGAAGCTTACAATAAAAGAGGACTTCTAAGCAATCAAGGGCTTCTTGATTTTAAATGAGTTAAGGCTAAAGCTTAGAAAGGATAAGGGTGTTTGGAAAGCCAAAGAATTCATGGATATATTAAGATACAAAATAGAGAGAAATAAAAATCTTAAAGCCCTAATATACTTGCTTCTCAGCTAAGTTTCATTCAAGGATTAGAGAATTAAGTAAATGAAGATTGCACTTGCCATGTTATTCTAGTAGAAATCCTATAAAAACTATAAGAGATATGATCCCTTTGATTAAGTTTCACTCTAGACTAGAGATATAAGACTATATATAGCAGACATGTTCTAGAATAATAGAAATTTACAAGGAAGACCTATCAACATTTTTCAAAGAGCAAGACTAAATAAGACCTTTATAATCACAAAGAGAAAAGTCAAATTTTATCTCGCTAAACTATTCTAATAAAAAAGATATGTTTCTGTAATGAAAGATGTGATAGATAAATTTGCAATTCCAAAACCAAAATAAAATTCTCTTAAAATGCTTTATAACAAAATGAAAGCAACAAAAGAGGATTTTATTGGATTGAAGAATATAAAGGATTAAGAATTTATGAAATAAGTTACTCAGGAATTTAAAAAATTATTTGTCAAACTGTTTTAGCTTGATGAGAAAGAAAGGGAATCGAGAGTATATTATAAATATTTCGCTTAGGATTTTGTAAAATCAGTTTTGCATTCATTAGATCTGCTGATGCAGAGGCTATAAAAATAATAAGCAGAACCCGAATTAATTCAGGCTATTAAAGGATTCATATAGATTAATGTGATGAGAATTAAGGATAGGAGATAGAAGGGTGGTCTAAAGGCAATAGAGTATATGAATAGACTGAGATTTTTTACAGAAAGGAATAAAAATTGGGCTAAACAGATTAGATACAACCTAGATATCTGCCAAAATGATGTACAGAGATACCAATTTATCAGACTCTTCATAGCAAAAGTCTTCTTGAGAAAATCATATGAAGAGAGCGTAAGGACCAATCCTTTCAAGTTTAATAAACTCACAGTAAGATAAGTCAAGCTCTTTGTAACAGACTTGTTTTAAAATAACAAGAACCTAGTTGGAAGACCTCTAAATATTTTTGCAAAGGCCAGAAGAGAAGGACATATGTGTCCATCTTAAAGAGAAATTAGAGAATATGTGGCAAAAACTCTCTAAGTAAAGAACAAGGGAAAAATAATCAGTGATGTAGTGGCCAAAATGAAAAATAGACCAAATTAGAGCTAATTTCAAAAAATGTATCAAAAGGTAAAGGCTAAAACACCTGAGATTATTGGCATCAAGAATATCAAAGATCCTATTTTCAACACTCTTATATTTACAGAATTTAAAAGATTCCTTACAAAAATACTGTAGAGAAGAGCTAATTAGAGAGGATCATAAATCTTTACAATATACTTGGCTCAAGGGTTTGTCAATAAAACTCTAACGCTCATGCAAGAATTACTTAAGAGGCTTGAATCTAAAAGACAAGAAGCAACACTTTAAGTAGCATTAAGAGGATTTTTACTTCTGAATAATCTAAAATAGAAATATCAAAAAGAAAAAGCTCTAAGAAAGTCTAAAGAATACCTTAACAGATTATCATTTAATATTAATCGAAAGAAAAATTGGGGATAGCAGATAAAATTCTGCATGGTTTTGTAAAAAACCTATTTGCAGAAATTAAAATTTATGAAGCGATACATTGCTTCTTTGTTCCAATCTAAGACTTACAGGTAATCTGTTAGAGAAAATCCATTTAAGTATAATCATCCAACTGAGAAGCAGGTTAAGCTGTTTATTTGTGATTTATTCCAAAACAAGCATAATTTACTAGGAAGAACTGCTAACTTTTTTAAATGGAAGCTCCTAAAGATCACAGAGCAAAAAGTAAGGTACTTTATAGCTATGCGATTCTAACAAAAGCACTATATGTATTTGGATTCCAAGATTTACAACATCTACAAAAGAGTCAAAACTATATTCTTAGTCAAAAGGTTCTCAGATTATGTGATGATTAGAATAAGGAAAATAAGAGAAAAAAATAATAATCTGGCAGCAGAGATGATGAAAGTATTAAATGAATAATTGGCATTAAATACTAGTACTGATCAGACCAACTCTTTTTAGAAATATGGTATTAACAACATGGAATCAATCTCGCTAGGAGATATCAATGATTCAGATCAGAGTATCTCTCCTGAAGAAAAGCTTATGCTCTCGAAGATGCTTTCTAGTTCAAAGTAACATATCGATGAAGCAAAGAAAGATATTAAGTAAAAGGTAGGGATGTTTAAAAATTAAATGCAAAAGAATTTTGCTAAAGGCATGATCAGGAGAATATCAAATAATCAAGTTGATGTGTCAAGTGCTGATCTTTAAAACTTGGCCAACATACTTTAAAGGAACATCAAGGAAGAACATGCAACAGATAATGCCAAGAAATTCATCTAAAATATAAAAACCTAGCAAAGTCAGTAAGAGAGGACTGCATAAAATGTGAAGACTTTTGCTGATAAATTCAAGAAAAACTATGGCAGAGCTAAAATTATAGAAGAAGAATGAATCATTAATTGTAAACAATGATTGATTATTACGGCAGTATTATAATAAGAATTGAACTATTATTGATTATCTATGAACGTTATAAATCAATCGTGATCTAAATATAAATCATGATTCTTAGCATTTCAAACCATAATAATTTACTCTAAATATCATTAAAACCTGAAAGACGGGGTTTTGGGGTTTTGGGGTTTTGGGGTTTTGGGG